CTCGTCTTGGTGTGAATAAGACTCCATGTGCTCCAATTACGCTCACAACCAGAAGATGAAGTAGTCTGACTTAGTACCTTAACTGCTATACTTTGAAGCTCAGGAGCACATGAGCCATAAAGAATCCACCATTCAGCTGCATAAAATAAATTTTGATGAATTCACAAATGAATAAATATACATTGACTACATATTATAAATTGTAACTTAACTTACCAGGATTTGTTTTGTTAATTGTTGCTTGCGCAATATTTGATCCAAATATTTCTGCTTTATCCCGAAACAAAAACATCTACATCCATTATAATTGTGAAATAATGTGTATTAGATAACATGTCATTCAAATAATAAATAAAATTGTAAGTAAACAAGCACTATATACCTGATTTATTGTCTTAATCTGACATTCAATGTTCGGCTCCGATTTTTGTATTATTTTCTGCGTTCCATCCATTGTTTCTCGGAACGTCTCCCTAGAGCTGGTAGTAGTATACTGGAATTGTGGATTCAAGAAGTAACCTACTCATATATAAATATTAATTTTTAGTTCATTATGACTACTTATTTATCCACACATAACATGTAAATTTCATACAGCTATATAAAAAACATAACTTTGTAGTCCATACTTACTAGCAGCATGCAAATCATGATGTAACTTAACAGACCACCGACGATCAATAATCTTCCAATAGTCAACCCAATATTGAGAATCTTTTTTAATAGCCAACTTTGCTCGATCCATTGCTTCATATATAAAATCCATTGTAGGTTTCTCATCTCCATCTACTAACCTTAACACCCTAACCAATGACTCTTGAACAATCAGAACTTCATTACCTCTCTTCTAAAAGTCTTTGCCCATAATCAAATTTTTTACATCACTAGGAGGGCCGGTTTTCATCTTCCCAAAACTAGTTGCCTTATAGTCATCAGAAGTGAACAGAGCCTTTAGGTTATCTTTCTGCCTAATGATGCTCTCAAGTGCAATGAAATTTGTGGCAAATCTGGTAATTGAATGGCGTAACAATTCTTTACTATCTGTATATTTTTTTATCAAATGGTATACCCTTGAATAATTGTAAATGAAGCTTGTGATAGACTTTGCATCATCTAGAACCTTTGCAACATATTTTTTTTTTTTGAAATGTTCTCAAGTATAAGATCAATACAATGTGCTGCACACGCTGTCCAATACAAATATGGTCTTTTCTCCATCAACTTCTTTCCAGCAGCCTTAAGAGCTGCTTCATTGTTAGTCACTATCTGGACAACATATTCTTGTCCAATCTCTTCAACAACCATATCTAATAAACGAAAATAATAATCTGAAGTCCTACTTGCTACATTAGATACATCAATAGACTTATGAAAAATTGTACCTTTATTACAATATATCAAGAAGTTGACAGTGTGATCTCGTGTTTGACCAGTCCATCCATCACACATGATAGTAACTCCCCTCTCTTTCCATGTTGGTCGAAAAGACTTAATCCACTCCTTCATTGCATTAGCTTCTTTATTCAAATATATCTCAGACACCTCATAAGAATTTGGACCTTTAACCCCTTTTCCTACTTCAGCAGCAACATCAAGCATTGGTTGAGTCCAAGGAGAGTCTGCTACATGAAAAGACAAATGGTTATATAACATGAATTTGGAAAACATATCTCCTAACCTTTCCCTTCTAATCTTTTGGTGATTTGAATTTATCTTTGGTTGCTTAGAACTTTTATTTCTTAGAAGATCAGGATCCATCTCCCTTAATCTAGCTTCAGGAATATCATAATTAATCAAATGCCGAGCACTACCATCAACATCCTGCTCACGAACTGAATGAGATCGTCTTAACCNTATTGCATTAGCTTCTTTATTCAAATATATCTCAGACACCTCATAAGAATTTGGACCTTTAACCCCTTTTCCTACTTCAGCAGCAGCATCAAGCATTGGTTGAGTCCAAGGAGAGTCTGCTACATGAAAAGACAAATGGTTATATAACATGAATTTGGAAAACATATCTCCTAACCTTTCCCTTCTAATCTTTTGGTGATTTGAATTTATCTTTGGTTGCTTAGAACTTTTATTTCTTAGAAGATCAGGATCCATCTCCCTTAATCTAGCTTCAGGAATATCATAATTAATCAAATGCCGAGCACTACCATCAACATCCTGCTCACGAACTGAATGAGATCGTCTTAACCTACTTCCATCTTTACCTCTAAAATTACCCCCACCTCCGGAACTACCTCCTACGTTATACTGTGGCACATGTACACTTCTACATCTGTGACTTTNAAATGCCGAGCACTACCATCAACATCCTGCTCACGAACTAAATGAGATCGTCTTAACCTACTTCCATCTTTACCTCTAAAATTACCCCCACCTTCGGAACTACCTCCTACGTTATACTGTGGCACATGTACACTTCTACATCTGTGACTTTCTTTAAATTGATATTGTGCCACACTTTCTCTTCTCGCGAACGCCATCTCTGGATCAGAATCTGAATCATCACCCAAGTCCACATACCTAGGATCCCCAACCACTGTCTCCTTCAGATGGAATTCCAATTCTTCCTTCCTCTTTTGTTTATCTTTTCTTTTATCTTTACTTTCTTGAAGATGTTTTATCATCTGTTCTCTGACTTCTTGTGGCACGTCTGGGCACGATGTTACATTGCCTCTTTTTCATGCCAAATGCTTTTTCACTCGTATAATACCACCTTTAATGATTTTTTTACAAAATATACATATTGCATCATGTCTATTGGTAGCCATTGTCGCAAAGTTCCAACCGATATCATCATTGGGATTACTTTGTGAACCTTCTTCTGGGCCATGTCGGGGTATTTTCAATTCTGTCACAAAAAAAAAATATACGTCATGTCGGAATAATAACTCAATANCGTGGCACGTCTGGGCACGATGTTACATTGCCTCTTTTTCATGCCAAATGCTCTTTCACCCGTATAATACCACCTTTGATGATTTTTTTACAAAATATACATATTGCATCATGTCTATTGGTAGCCATTGTCGCAAAGTTCCAACCGATATCATCATTTGGGATTACTTTGTGAACCTTCTTCTGGGCCATGTCGGGGTATTTTCAATTCTGTCACAAAAAAAAAGTATACGTCATGTCGGAATAATAACTCAATATACTAAATGGATTAAAAGATTAATTTATATGTTCTATCTACTCCAAATAAAATTAGTGAATGGTAAGACACGCATTGACACATATATAGAAATATTTAAAATTGATTCGATTATTAAATAAGCATAATAAATAGTCTAGACTAATATTTAATACTTAGAACATAATAATTATTTTTTTCGTGGGTTTTGATAAGAACATGACAAGATTAACATTCTTAATTGTGATACCTATTTAAACTCTATTAAAATAATTAATAAACTTTATTAGAACACAATAATTATTTGATTGTGGTTAAGGATGTCAAATTTGACCAGTTGATATGAACCCGACACAAACAATTATAAAATTGATTCGATTATTAAATAATCATAATAAATAGTCTAGACTAATATTTAATACTTAGAACACAATAATTATTTTTTTTCGTGGGTCTTGATACGAACATGACAAGATTAACATTTTTAATTGTGATACATATTTAAAATCTATTAAAATAATTAATAAACTTTATTAAAAATTTTAATTAAACACATGTTTAATTTGATCAAAAATATATCTCAAATATAACATTATAATATTTAAATGGATAAGACAACACTACATTTTTTTTTTAAAAAAAAAAGAGAGAGAGAGAGTCGGTGGCTGAAATCTATAGGATAAATAGATCTTAAAAAGTTAAAAAAGAAAAAAAGAAAAAAAAGGGGGCAGTAGTTGATATGCACAATGCATAGATAAGTAGAGTTTAAAAAGTAAAAAAAAAAATAAAAATTCAGTGGCTGATGGCTGAACACCACACATGTTATATCCTCACAACCACCAAAAAAAAAAAATAAATAAGAAGAAGAGAGAGGCGGACCAGGCGGGTGACTGGATTGGAGTGTTTACCAGAGAAGTGAGGAATTTGAATGGAGCACTGCAGTCAAAATCCACTCGTCTTCGATCATCCGAAACAAGCAGCGACCACACCAAGAAACGATCAAACATTGGAGAGCTCAGATCTGATCATTGGTCAAACAGTCAGAGTTCGAGTTCAGCTCTTTCGAGCAGAGGAGGAAATAGTTTCGAAAACCACTTCAAGAAAGTTAGATCTGGATATATAGGTGCGTTTTTAAGTGATTATTTGAAAGATTTTTTAGATCTAAACCATGTATTTGAGATTTGAGTGAATGAAGGAAGATGAGAGATGGAGGTTGAATTTGGGTTTTGGATGAAATAAATTTTTGGGGCTGAAATTTGGGTTTTATACTCAAATCATTTTTTTTGAATCGTAACGGGTCAAAACGGCCATTACGTTCGTTACGGGAGCCGTTACGAGGCCGTTACGGAGCCGTAACGGTCGTTACGTCTGTGAAATTTATTCCTTCTGTTATATCGGACTATAACGGGGTTGGTACCTGCCGTTACTATTACGTAACGGTTGTTACGCGCTGTAACGGTCCGTTAGTAACGGCTGTTACGCGCCGTAACGGTCGGTCGATTTTCAAAACCCTATAATGAACACTTTAAAAAAAAAGAAAGAGGAAAAGTTCGTTACTTTAATTTTGATTCGACGTGCTTTGACGATGTGGCAAGGGCAACGTCCACAGCATCCTGAAATCCATAACTAGTAGAATTGGGGTGCATGTAGGTCAATGATGGAATCAAATGTATAATTTTCCTTCACATCCTCTCTATTGTGCCTATCGGAATCTTCACGAAATGATCTTCTATTCGTTAGTTCACATCTCTCTCTCCATTTGTGAATACCGATCGAGTATGAATTGGGATCAACAGGAAGATACTACGCAGACTGTAAATATGTAGTATGTGGCGAAAAAAACATTGGAATACAACTAGCGATAAGAGAGTCGAATGTAGAACATCGAGTGAACATGTCTCCTACAGGTTGCAAGCAGAAATGTCGGAACTTCATTTGGCATGTGACATTTACTTGATCCATGACCACATGTCACAAGCAAACACCGAGTCGATTCACCACATTGTTTGAGGATCTCATCTCGGATTGCTGCCTTCTTTACCCCTGTTCGTGGGGCTCCGATGAATGAAAAAGGGTACGGCCGTTCTATTTGACACATCCTTTCTTGCTATTTCAACATTTCACCCATTGTAGATGGATGGGAAATAGGATGCATAGGGAATACCATGGTGGTTTGGCCCTTGCCAAGGGTTCCTTTCTACAATAAGCACCGACATGTTTTGTACTGGTGGCCCTGGTTGCGCCAAATTCAACTCCACCATCAGTCCTTCCAACAACCAAGAAATGGTCGATTCCATTACTTCTTTGCCACCATGGTTGTTTACGAATATATTCAGACAATTCGAGGGCTAAGGTTGCATACCTCATGATTAGGCTCAAGGAACTTCCATGAAACATGGAGGCCACCATAGGATGGGGCATAGAACAAGTCAGCTTTTTTGGGGGTCCCACGTGCGACAATGGTGGTTTTCCATGCGAGCGTGGAAGATCCGTGTATTGGCGGGTGGCGAACCAACTGTTTGATCCCATTTTCGGGAGGGGTTGGCGTTGGCCTAGTCCGTAGTTTGTTACGTGTGGGCACATGTTAGTGTATACGTTCAAATGCTGGCACTGGCAGAGTCAGAGGAGGTCGAGGTTGAATTTCTCCGGCATTTCGTACACAAATACATTGCTTTTGAAATGAGGAAGTGCTGAACTGAGAGAGGGGTTACCTTGGGAATCTTGAAATGAATTTGGTTTCGCCAGGGAGAAACCAGAGCGTCAAGAAGGTGACTAAAAACACACACAATCTCATTTGGAGGGAAGGTCGTTTTATATCTTGGGAGAGAGCAGCAATCACTTACCAAGGGATCTAAATTCGATCCATTGGTAATGTGTGGTGGATGGGTTTTCCTCGGTTTATCACCATTTTTCTATTCTTTTTCCTCCGTTTATCACCCTACCATATAATATTGTGGGACTCACTTGTAATCAAATCAAGAATCTTACTTGAATTCAATTCCGTTCGATTAAGGAGAAAAATAAAAATAAAACGTATTAATGGAGGGCAATTCCCTNCTGTAATCAAATCAAGAATCTTACTTGAATTCAGGTCCGTTCGATTAAGGAGAAAAATAAAAATAAAACGTATTAATGGAGGGCAATTCCCTTATTAGAGTTTCACTGTAGAACTCCTTGGCAAAGATACCATGAAGAGAGAGTCCGTGATGCCATAAATTTCATTGATGTGCCCTGCCTTTTTCTGCTTTGTTTCAAGGTTAAAACAGAAGGGCTTAAAAAGTTAAGCGCAGTGTTCAGAGATGGTGACAAATATTATCAGATTACTTTCTTTAGATTGTACCATATATTGTTGACTACATACAAATGATGTCCTTACCAAAAGAATTTATCACAAAATTTACTAAATGAATATAAGTTGTTGGATAGTAGGTCCAAAAAAGAAAAAAAATTAATAATAGTAGGTCCCACTGATACAACTGCTATAAAAACTTATATATTGTGAATATTTCTTTCAATATGTCAACATAAAATACAACCTTTAAACAATAGAATGACAACTTAAATTACAAAGAACAAGATGAATAGTCATAAAATAATCTAACACGTGAACAATAGATAAAATAAAGGTAATAATACGAACTAAGATAATTAGCACTTTTAATAATCTAGCATATAACAGTAGCTAATATGTACCGGTATGTGTTTAGTAGTAGTAGAATGCGCAGAATCTATATTATGAATAGAAACTATTAACACCTATAAAACCTAGCATGAGGACAATAGCTAAATTGGTAGAACCATAGCTTGTGGTTATAGTTAAATAAAGTAGAATACCTGTATATCTATATACATAGAAAAGTCAACAAATAATATAAATCTTGATAAAATAGAATGTATAATATATATACTAATTGTTGCACACATGCATTGCATGTGAAGTATTTTAAAAAAAATNACAAATAATATAAATCTTGATAAAATAGAATGTATAATATATATACTAATTGTTGCACACATGCATTGCATGTGAAGTATTTTAAAAAAAATAAGTTAATTTAAGAGGACACAATATGCAATACAGAGTCATCAAATATTGAAACAGTCCAAGCATTACTCATCGTATAAATACGAAAGGGCAAACGATTAAACATATTAAAAAAAAAAGGGACATTGTACAAGAAAAATTCAGAATTAAACATAGCATCTCTAATTATTCCGACAAGGAAAGTTACCTACACTTATAATTTGGAAACACAACACAAATCAATACAACGGTGTAGAAGGACAAAGATTATTATCCATAATTGTTAAGATTACCCAAGGCACTAACTCTACTGTGAGGTGTATTATATTGGTAGCCAAGAGCATTCAGCCTCTATACAATTACTATGCAGAATACATGAAATATATGTTTGAAAAATTTCATGTCCTGTGCTTGCCCTCTAAAGGGGTTATATTTTCACGAAAGTTTCTAAGTGTAAGAGAAAAATATAGTGTAGTAACTCGAACAAAAATTCCAAGATTGTCTCCTTAAGAAAAGAATTGGAATCCAAGGTGATAAAAATAAAAGGAAAAAACTCTTTGAAGTTGAGAATTTTGAGAGTTAACTACTAACAAAATTCAAATTACGAATAAGAGTTTCTATCCTAAATCTATAACTCATCTGTTNCTTTGAAGTTGAGAATTTTGAGAGTTAACTACTAACAAAATTCAAATTCAATAAATGAAAAACTAGATAGTCTTCAGAATTCCTCCCACTTACGAATAAGAGTTTCTATCCTAAATCTATAACTCATCTGTTTTCGTATTCAAACTACTACAGACGGATGATTTTCAACTAAAAAGTTTGAAAGAACTAATATAACAATTAAAAGATAGTTTATGGTAGAAGAATCAATATCCTAAACGTCGTAGAAAATACCACTAATTATCTATACCAAAATTAATTGTACACAAATAATCGGGAAGTACACAAACCAATTAGGTTTCTGAAAACATCACCTATTCAATTAATCACATAAATATTAAAACCATACTTTAAAGCACACACCTTACTTCATAGGTTGAGACTCCTTCACCAGATTATCCAGAGGAAGACTACTCACTTATGATAACAAAAATTACACAAAACATTAAAAGAAAATAATTGAATTCAAAAAGGTAAATATGGAATTGAAACTAATCACTTGTATTAAAAAACTGAATGCAAATAACAAGGTTTTGAAAGTAAAGACAACTGAATGTAAATATTATTTGAACAAATAAAAGAATTGAACTTAAAAGAAAAATAATGCAAAACTCTGTAAAATAACCCTAAAACTCTCTAACAGGAAAAGTAGAAGAAAAACTCATAAACGTGTTCTACAGCCAAATTCTCTCTCGAATTCTCCAAAGGGTCTTTATTTATTTTAGTTNAAAAGAATTGAACTTAAAAGAAAAATAATGCAAAACTCTGTAAAATAACCCTAAAAATCTCTAACAGGAAAAGTAGAAGAAAAACTCCTAAACGTGTTCTACAGCCAAATTCTCTCTCGAATTCTCCAAAGGGTCTTTATTTATTTTAGCTGGAAAGAGAATTTTCAGATCTTTGAACATATATTCTGTGACACCCCAATTTCGAGGGTACTTTCTCAAACCGTTGATAACCCATCAACCCATGGAAGTATACCCGTGAATACCACATATCCTGATACCACATCGTTACACCCCATTCACCGGGATCATAACCAAAACAAAAATTGGGCAGAGTCTTCCTTGTACCAGAGCACTACCCAACGCATAACTTGTACACATGATCATTCCAAGGTCTAAACCCTGGTAATTCGGACTTTTTATTATCCATGTACATCGTCCGTAGGGGTTGTTCAAAGAATGAATACCCCTTAGTGTTACATTTTAAAATTTTCAAATTCTGGGACGAGTTATCNCAGAGCACTACCCAACGCATAACTTGTACACATGATCATTCCAAGGTCTAAACCCTAGTAATTCGGACTTTTTATTATCCATGTACATCGTCCGTAGGGGTTGTTCAAAGAGTGAATACCCCTTAGTGTTACATTTTAAAATTTTCAAATTCTGGGACGAGTTACCGGTACCTTCGATACATGGTACTAGTACCTAGGTCTTCTGTTTGCTAGGTACCGGTCCATATATACACTGGTATCGGTACCTGAGCCCATTGTTTTCAAGGTACTGGTATCTGAACCCACTGTCCATTGGAGTACCGGTATTTGAGCCTACTAGNTGGGACGAGTTACCGGTACCTTCGATACATGGTACTAGTACCTAGGTCTTCTGTTTGCTAGGTACCGGTCCATATATACACTGGTATCGGTACCTGAGCCCATTGTTTTCAAGGTACCGGTATCTGAACCCACTGTCCATTGGAGTACCGGTATTTGAGCCTACTGGAATCTAGGTGCTGGTACTCTTAAGTCTAGGTACAGGTACCTGGGCCATCCGACAGCGTAGTACCAATACTTGAGCATAGATTTTTCCCAAATCTTTCCAATCTTCAACCTTTAACTATCCAATCACTTCCCATATTCATCCATTCATTCATTTACACAAATCATAGTCCGTAAGAGTTCATTACATAACCCTTTATACAATTTTACAAGTCCAATATAAATTACATAATGGATTACAAAATGCAATTTAAAAGTCACATCCCAGCNACACATTTCTCATGAAATTCCAAATCATGCAATTTCATCAAACCCATTCATACAAGAATTGGTTTTAGCATTTTTTTTCTATACCCATTTTCGTATTCCAACAATTCCTAGGTATGTTTTATACATGAGATTTCATTTCTAATATCTTACTCATTTCATATTTCAACTTTAGATTGAAAACAAACTTAGTTAGGAATGAAACCCTACCTCTTGTAGTGTAAATATACGTAGAAGAATTCCAAAAGACCTGAATCTAGCTTCCAAGCCTTGATTTTTCAAAATCTCACCTTTGAGATTGTGGCGAAACCAGCAATCCTTGGTACATACATGTAGCTCTCGTCACGTAGAACAACTTTATCTCTTGGCTTAAAGAAATCTAACGTAGCCATCATCACGTAGAACAATTTAATTTTTTGGGTTTTATATATTCATCCCAAAATTATCTCTTTCTTTGATTAGTTGAGAATCCCCAAAAGATATAGCGAGATCTAATCTTTAATTGAGCTTCACGTGAAAATCTGCCTTGACCTAGTGGTTGAATAGTAAAACCTACTAGTAGCAACTCTCTCTATAACACGACCTAACGGTAGAACATCCTTTACCTACTGGTAGAACTTTGTCTAATAAAATCTCTGAAACTTTTATGGCTTTTCCTACCAGTAGAACATCCGGTAGGACTTCTCTGACAAAAGTATTATAAGTTTTTCTACCGGTAGAACATGTTTAACTACCTGTAGTACTTATCTGATGAAAAAGTGCAAAGTGCTATGAGTTTTGCTACCGATAGAACATGTTTAACTACCTGTAGAACTTTCATTTTTCTATTTTCCTATCGGTATAATTCCTACT